TGTGTTAAACCATTTCAGAGAGGAACATAATATTTTACTGCCTGCAGCCCAGTTTGTCAAGCAGGCGAGCAGGATTCCTGAAAGGCAGAAGCTCTCTCTGTAGGAAGAAGAAGAGCTGGAGGAGGACTGGACGTTTTGCTTTCACTATCCTCCAAAAGTCTTCCACTGCAATTGAGGAGCAGTTTAGCTTCTTCCGGGACCATGTGTTAACATATCCGATATGGTAAAAGAAATAATTACAGCCTAGGAGATGTTTGTGAGCCTTAAAAAAGTGTTTGTGGGGAGAGGGGGAGAATGGCCATGGCTGAGAGCATTTGAGGCGTAGCATTTTGTTGTCCAGAATACAGGAAAGAATGTTTTCTGCGTGTTGAGGGCAAACACAGGGGTTTTCCCTTGAGTATTAAGGAATCAACTGATCGCCTATAAGGAAGAAATTGTAACCACCTGTCATCTGAATAGATTGGAATATGCTGCTTTGATATCTGCTCTCCCTACTCGTGCAAGGTACTGTGTGAAAACCACCAGCTTTACTGTTGTAATTTTTGTTAATGTTCATGCTAAACCAGAAGTTAACCAGAGAACGTACCCACGTGACTGAGTGCATTGGCAGTGTTGACTCACGGGATTTAATGCTCAGTATGAAAGCTGAAAATCCAAAAGCCTTTCACCCTAGATCTAAGCAAAACCAGTTCTGAAAATGGGGTCTGCCTTGTATCAGAAGACTTAAATGCTTCTTTTACCTCCATTTCAATCAATCTTTTGATTAAAGAAGTTAAATTTGTTAAAATTTATATTGTGTCTATTTACAGACTTATCTTTTCATTTTTAAATAGCAAAATCACCAGGGTTTTGGCAGGCATCTGAATCTCATTAGAAAATGTAATCCAAAGCAGCTTAACAGATGAGAGAGGTTAATTTTAATTTTTATAGTAGATGCCTTAAATCTAAATGCTAGAAAAGAGAGTGTGTATATACATATATTTGTTAGAAACGAAGATTTTAATATCTTAAGTTTACTTTTTCCTTTTTATTTTATATATTAAAAAACTATTTCTTTTTAAACTGAATCAGTAATTGTAAGCAAGGTCATTGATTTAGTACAATAATATGAGATATGCCTGTTTTTCTACTCCTGCATGACCTACTTACTAAGTAGCTGGTACACACTGAATATAGAAGAGCTTATCAGGTAATTTAAGATTCTACAAGTTTTACCCATTCAGGCTAAAATGTGATAATTAGAATTCTGTCCTTTCACTCCATCAGTATTAACTACACTCACTGGGAGAAAGTATTTTGTTTGAGAGAAAGTATTTTGAATGACTAAGTAGAACTAGAACAGTTATATAACTCCATGTAAGCCTGAAATTAGGTGACTAAGGTTCGTCCCAGATGCTAAATTTGTTTTCTGGACTGTTGTCCTGGCACACAGCAGTTCTACTGGACTTGTTTCTTTTTTTTCTTCTTTTTTTTTTCTTTTTTTTTTTCTTCTTTTTTTCTTTTTTTTTCTTTTTTTTTCTCCCAAGTTAGAACATAATCATGGGTATATGCTGTGACCTAATGAAGTTCTTCAGTGGAACAACTCCTTACTCCTCCTACTTTCTGTGGTGTACCCAATCACTTATCCATGCAAGAAATTTCCCTGTTTTGCGTTCTCTGTTTAAGTTTCTTTAAAGATTTTGTCAGGGACTTTTTGAAAGCCTTTCAGAAAGCTGGGAAGATGGTATGCATGAGGGCATCGCAATGGTTTTGCTTGTTGGTCTCTTCAAAGAAATCTAATGAGTTTGCAAGGTCTGATTGTTTTGTTTTGTTTTGTTTTCAAAAGCAATATTGACTCTTCTGAAGAAGACTCATCCGGTAATTATATTATTTGTTATAGCTTCTGCTAATTTATTCAGGATGGAGATGAGGTTAGCAACCTATTAGCTTCCTTCTTGACCATTAAAAAATGGCATCACATTTGCCACTTCCTAGTTCCTGAGGTCTGTAAGAAGAGATTGCATACCCCTGTTACCAATTCAGGGACTTCATTCTTGAGTTTCTTTAGGTCCTTTGGATGACGTGATACGGTTCTGTTACCTCTTACCATCCTACACATACAGCTTTGTGTTTGGCCGTATGAAAACATAAATGATTTGCTCTTATCTGCTCTGCCTCTGGTCCAGTTGTGATATGAATTATCCTTTTACCTACTCACAGCCCTCATCTTTTCCTACAAATTTGATTAGTTTTGGGTTACTTAAAAATGCAGAACAATATTGGACCAAGAATGATCTGTGCTGTGCCTCTTAGAAGTGTATTGGGTGGGCAGGAGCATCTCCTACTTCTGTTTCAGTAAGGTTTAATCCGTTTAATATACATTGTGTTCCTATAATGCTTGGATACTTTAATTGAAATATTATGCAACATTCAGTCATTACTTACATAAATTGAAACAGATATCATCAACACCGTTACCTTGTCAACCAACTGTGTAATCTCCTCAGATGACATTTGTGAAGGTAATTGGACCAGATTGAGTTGGTCGTTATTTGTTACTGCTCTTTGATTTCATACAAAGACTTCCATATCTTGATTCGGGGCTTTGACGCAGCTTGAGGGAAACTAATTATTTAGAGCCTACACATATTGAAATCCTCCTTTAGCCCTTTCATAGTAATTCTTTTCTTCACTATTTTGGTATTCAGACTTATAAGTCAGCCTGTATAGTCTGGGGATCTCCTTGGAGATGTCTTTTTAAAAAACCCAAACTTTTAGGTTTTTTGGATATGTTTATAAATGGACAGCCTGAGTGTAGGCAATAAGTGTGCAGCAGCTGAGTAACATTGTCTGTAGTGACACATGGAGTAGGTGTTTCACAGCCCTTGGAGATGAATCTCTAGCAATTGAACTTACTCCCTCTCCTGTTCTACTGTGCTGCCCGTATAGAAATTGCATACGTTGTTGCTGAGACACCACTGTCTTTGTTGGAAACAGGATTTGTAACCAGCTCTGCCCCGACCCCAAAAGAGCCTGTAGACACATTCTTCCTTATTTAGTCTGTCTGTGATCCTTTCTGTGGCATGCGTATGAAGTTAGGGATAAAATCGAAATACTGATTTTTTTAAGTATTTTTATTATCATTATTACTGAGAGTGAAAAAATGCTGTTAATACTGGATAGTATGCTTTATCTACTGCAACCAGAGAGAATCCAAAACTGTGTTAGGATGTGATCAGTCTTCAAATGCATGGAAGACAGCTTCGAATCCTGTTTTCAGAAAGACATTTAGACAAGGCAGGCAGCAGTCATTTTAGGTATGGTTATTTCTGCCTTGTGTAATGGGGTAGAAGGACTTCCCAGAGTATTTTTTGAACCTTGTTTTCCATGATTGACTCCTCTGGCTCCTGTAAGGAGACTCACAGTAAAGGTTGATTAACAGAAGCTGCAAGTGTATCACCTGTGGAAACTCCGACTGTTGAATTTCTTCACAATCTCTTTTAGAAAAGACACCTCAGTGGTCCCAAGGGTCCCAGTTTTATCAAGATGTTGATGTCAGTGTCATTGGTTAGGGCAGCTCTGGAAACTTTCTTAGCGGCTCAATTACACAGAGACCAGGTATTGAAGAAATGAGAAGTCACGTTCTCTGTGAACGAAGACCAGCGGTTATGCCCGCAGGAGAACAGTCTGCGCGTTGCGTGGGTACATGCGATAGGGAGTGAAGGGTCTAGCTTGTGAGGAGCTCAAGGAGGATGGGAGGTGACTATACGCTACTGGAGGATAGAGATGTTGCTGGAGTTCAAATAGTGACTGTCAGCATGGCTAGCACAAGCTGAAGTAGAGCTGCTCTGGTAATATTCTCGTGGGACAATGAGGAGGGGTTCAGGAGGTTATGAGTATGAGTACCATATCTTTTTCTTACTTACATCTGGTAAGGCTTTTGGAGAATATAACCTGTATAGGAAGCATGTAACCTCTTAGTGTAAAAGTCAGTTTTATCACCCACTGTACCTGTAAAGGTACCTCGTTTAATTTCAGGGATTAATGAATCTAGGGATTCATCTGACTAAACTGCCAAAAAATAATTGTACCTTCTGTTTAGATCTTGCATCCTCATTTTTTATTTTTTGTTAGGGAAACGAGTTTGAACTTTGAAGAAATGTTTCAAACTACTGTTTTCAGAGCCTTATTTGATCCTTACTCTTCCTTTTGGAGATCAGAAGCCTTAATTTTGAAATCTTAATTTAAAAGAGAGAATGAGAAGGACAATAAATAAATAGGTTTTCAATCCAGGCGGTGCTTGTATGGATACCTAACTGGGAGTGATGTCAAAGGCTATTGTGCTTTTTTCAAGTGTGTTTTTAAGAGTTAGTTCCGTAGGTCAGTGTCTTTTTGAACAGAACATTAATGAGCATCTGTGGGGGAAAAAAAAAACGTTCAGAGTACATAAGTGAGAAATTCTTAATGTGCCATCAATGGCAATAGCCAAATTACAAACAGTAGTACAAAAAGAACAGAGAAGTCTAGGCTCACTTGTGCTTGAATAAGGGTTTGTTCTGCTCACAGCGCCTTTCTCAATTTGCTAGTCCTCCCAGAACTACAGCCTGGAAACGATAGCCTGTCTGGGGATATAATACTTTGCACATTTTATTAGCGAAGTGAAGTTGTTTGCTGTTCATGTTCTAGGAACTGCAATTCAACTGCATGACACAGATGTACGACGCAGAACACTGTGCCTTGGTGCTCTGTTAAATGCCATCTTTATTTATGCATCATCTCTTTTGGATTTTCTAAAGCATGGATTTGCAGTTAAGCTGCCAGCAAACTTTTTCTTTGAAAGTTCTGACCTTAAATGCAAAGCACTTTCCTTTTGTTTTTTGTTTGTTTTTGTTTTGTTTTTCCTCTTTCTAATAACCTTTAGGAGTATGAAAACATTTGTCACTTGTTTTAAATATCCTTATGACAGGTCCTTGTAAGCCTGTATGTGTTTATAGTAAATATTACACTGTGTTTTTCACCAGGGAGATTGCAGCTATGAACTGGAGGTTCAGCCTCACTTACATATTGAAGACGTTAATATTCAAAGGGATAAAAGTCATCTTTCCATGACCAACTCCACATTTGATCAGAAAGCCTGCTCATCTAGAAAAGACATGGCACACAGAGCAAAAGTAAAACCATTTTTACCAGATACAAATGATAATGGGAGTGAATTCTTTTCCACATTTAAAATAACAAAAACAAAGACTGCCAAAAGAAATTCCAGATTAAATGTTGAAGTGCCTGAGTTGCCTACAGATAGTAATAGTTCGGCTTCCTGCTCAGCAAGAAGGCTTGCTGAAGAACGTACTGACCAGGGCAGTCAAAAGGATGAGGAACTAGAGGTGACGTTTGACTTAAATGAATTTATTGACCTATGCGATGACAGTGAAAGTACTCTAGTTCATGAAAGTGCAGGAAAGGAATACAAACCTGTAGATAAAGCTTGTCAGTCACTGGGGATGAACCACACAGATTCGGGTTATAGTAGCTTCACAACTGAGAAATCACCTGCATCGTCTGACTTGTTTTATCTTCCTGAATCATACGTGGATTCATTTGCGCTTGTAAGACCATCTGAGGAGCCTTCTTGGTTAAAAGGAATATTTTCCCGTGTAAAAAGGTTTTTATCACAATCTCCTCCCTCTTTGAACAAACTTCATGATTTTGAAAACATGATGAGAAATGAAGAAACAATATGTCCTTTTCAAAATGTTCTTTCTGATCGTTATTCAGAGAGACTTCAGGACAAAGTCTTTCCCGCATCCTCAGAAGTTGATGGTTCACTGCCGCTCTTTGAAAATCCTGAACTGAAAGTCACCAGTGAATTGTGTGCTTTTGTAAGCACCCATTTTTCAAAAACTGTATCATCATCTGAGACTGCTGCTGTTAAAGCCGAAGAGGAACTTCACTGGAATGACAGCTTTGATAGTCTGTTTGACAATGAAGAATTCACTGAAATTCAAAAGAAAACTGCAACAGTAAATCACACTCTGACAAATACCCCTTCAAATAAGTATTTTGTTCAAGAAGATAAAGATCTTGAAATCAACAAGAAAAGTGTAATTATTGATGAAGAGAAGAGTATACATTTATTTGAAGATGACCACATTTGTGACACAAATAATGGAAGTTTTTCAATGAGCAATGAGCATTTAGTCAAGTCAGATTCAGGTGAGAATGTTGTTAGGCCAGTTGCAGAGCGAGGCTCCGAGTGGTTTCCTTCAGAGGTGTGCTGCGCGAACGCTGACAAAACCCGCAAGGAGCAGCCAGTAAGCTGTCAAACCACAACCATGGAGATGTCGGGTGATGTCAGCATGACCGAGCAGTTTCTGGATAGTGATGATCTTTATGACTGTTCTCAAGAACTGTTTTCTGTTAACTTTGATCTGGGATTTTCCATTGAAGAGTGTGAGAACGAAATCTTTGAAGAAGCTATAAATACTAATAAAAGCAGAAAGTTAAATGGTGCCTCAGGGAGTCCTGCAGGTATTAAATCCAGTGAAGATAAAAAAAATTTACTGAATAGCTCCAGACTTGAAACATCACCAAAACAGGTTTGCAAAAGTCTTGAGAAAAGAGACATTTCCACACCATTGCCATTCCAGAGTAGGAGCAGGAGTGGTAGAGAAGGGGCTGCAGATCCTACCACTGCAGTGCCTTTCCTGAGGTCAGGAGACAGAAGAACAGGAAGTGGATCACCTAAAGCTTTGGCTTCCGCACTGTCTACCCCAACAAGTAGAAAGGTTGTGAATACTGAATCTATCAGAAGAACTCCTATGGAAGTCTTCTCTAGTACCAAGGAGGAAATTCCAGAGGTGCCTCTTACAGATGAAGTAAATCCAAGCCCACATAGGCAGAACTTTGGGCGTTCAGCCACGGATGCTCTGGATTCCCTTTTAGGAAGGACTGAAAACCTGGAAGACACCAAC